TCTCCAGGAATGAAATCACGCTGGAGGCAATCATGACTGTAGCAGCATGATGTCCACACCCACCTTCCTACCCCACTTTGACATCCAAGGGGCTGTCTTTTGCCAAAATCTGCACAGAGGGGGGAGATGATGATTTGGTTTATGGAGTCCTGTTGGCTAGATTCCCATAGAATAAATTATGTCCCCCCTCCCTCCCTCCCTCCTCCGACTGCTCTCCTGCTTTTAAGCTTGCAAGACTATTATCCAGCAACCCCCAGTAAGTTCTTATCTGCGGCAGCCAGATGGAGAACACACCAGCAATACCTCAAGACTTGTTGATCGAGCAGCGCTGACAGAAAAGCTGTCATTGTAGAGAGCTTCTGGTTCCAGATTAGCATCTTTGCTCTTTTTTTTTTCTCTATTTTAAAATTGCCAAGAGAAGTCTCATTAATGTCTATTATATCATTGGCTGGATTTATTTGTCAGTTTGGGCAGCTTGAAAGGTTTAGAAAGACAGAAGGGAAGAAAAACCTACATGAAAAACACGGATTTACTCTTGAATGGATTTGTTTAAGTGGGAGTCTTTTTTTCCATCCGTTCACACAATAATCAAATGACATCATGGCAGGAGCCCAAATGCTGCATCACCACTGTTTCTGGTCATAGAAATTGCTAGTTCAAATCTGGACAGATATCAAGCCATAATTAAAGTTAAACAAAACAACTGACAAGCCATTAGTGTTGGACAACATGTAACTTTGGTATGCAACCAATTATCGATACTAAAACTGTTGTTGCTTAGCCTACACTACAATTTAACTCCAGTAGGAATTGGCACAGTTGAAAAGGCGTATCTCTTTCAAACTGTGATGTTAGCTAGGAAGTTTTTGAGCCTAGCCTTAGTCAAGTTCCCAATTGTATCGTTTCAACTCGGCCAGGGACACAGAACATGTAACTGAATATTTTGTTTCAAGTAGCTGATTAATCAAAAAGCAATGAATCGATGAATAATTGCGGTATTCCTTGTGATTGTGTAACAATGTGGACAAGTCATAGACTGTATTAAACAGTGGATGTCGTCTCAGTTTCACTCACTGATTCCTGAAGAGGTGTTGTGAAATCCAAAAATGGCAGTCATTATATTGAAAATATAATTTCATCCCAACCGAATCAATCCAGAAACAGGCAAAGAGGTGGAATTGGGGAGGGCTGAAGCCTCCTGGCAAACAACTTCAATGTGCCCACCTGTCAGTCCACTAACCCACACCCCGAATAGTGCAAATTTATAAAAAACTCTTAGGCTTCATTATTAAAACAGATGAGTTACTGTAACATGTTTATTTCTGCTGTAAAATGGACATCTTAATAAAGGATCTGAGGGGAATTCCTTGGCTTTTGCAGCCAGCCTTAAGTGGACACACCTGCATTGGCTTCAATTTTTTCTCTGGAGGTCCTAACCTAAACATAAAGTATAACAGCATTTGAGTTTCCACCATGCACGTCCAGGAAAATGGCTGCCATGTAAATATAGTAAATGTTTTTGGCTAAATAAAGATATTTAAAAACAGTTATGAGACTCGCCCTTCACTGAGGTGGAGGCTATAGTTAGGTAACGTTTACCCATCAGTCTGAATCTTATCAGCTGCAGTAGAGCACACTGTGCATTCAGGGGTGTCTGCATGTGTCTAACAATAGAATATGACAGGAGTCAACATACAACCATGTCTTCTAGTGCATCTACCTGCTAGCAGCTGGGTGCAGTATTAGAAGTATTAGACAATAGCTTGCAGAACAAAAGCATCTCCCTGTGTGTTTTACTCCCAGTGAAAAAGCTGAAGAATAGATTATGACTGCATGCAAACAGAAACTGTTGTTGACTGCTTCACCAGCCATCTGATGCAATGCAGGAAAAGCACAGGAATAGGCATCCACCAGCATGCGCACATCGGCCCCCACCTCAATTCTACCACAGGGGGAAATACCCATAATGCACTACTTGATGCTTTTGTATTGAATTGGCTTCGCATTGGCGCTCTGACCCACTTTCCTAGCAGCGGGCAGGTTATTTTAAGATTTCATTAGTGAGAAGACCAAGGGCAGAGGAAAGGTGAAGAGGCTCAAACACACTATCAAGCATCCGTTCTGTTCTGGAATTCAAATCCACTTGTTTAAGTGTACGCCTTCAATTGCGGGGCTAAATATGAGTAATCCTGATGATGACTAATGGTATGTTGCAGTCCTCTTATGAAGACCTAATTTGCGCTGAAGTAGAATGTATCATCGAGTTCAAAGGTTGAGACTGCCATCACCACTGCTCAAAAACACCAGACACCCAACAGGCATAAAAAAAATCACTGAAAAAGTATGAGTCACTTGGATCTCTGTTAAGGTGTTTAAACTTTCAAACCAGACTGTAACCTACTCATTCTACCCTCAAAACATGAAATCATGAAAAATAATTGGGTAGAAATGGAACATTCTTTTCTTTCTATATGGCAGCGGTTGAAAGAAATCCTTCAATTGTTTGTAAAATCTACTTATTCACTTTCTTGATAACAGTTATAGAAGTAGATTGATACCAGTGTCATGCCTGTATCGTATCAAAGTATGACGAGCCATTAGCTTGGCTTAGCACAAAGAGCAGAAACAGCTAATTCCTCATACGACCTTTTAATGATCACATTATCTAAATGTCCTGTTTCAGACATAGAAAACCTGTTTAGTGAAGCAAACAGATTTGGTGACTTTTTGTCAAAGCCAGGCTAGCATTTTCATTTAAATTCATTCTTCATACTAAGCTAGCACTCCTTAGGCTTTAGCATAGCTTGGTACTAAAGTTGAAAACAGGGTGAAACAGCTAAGTGGCGTGCTATCTGAGCGAAAATGTCCATCTACTAGAATACCTTATGCTCACTTTGCCTTGCCAGAGGTGGAACTATTGTTCACATCAACTGTTTTGGCTGCTACAACAGACTGCTGCTAGCTTCCTTTGCATTTTAAATTCAGCCCATTTCATTTGTTAAGTATTTTAAATAGCGACTTAGGACATGCGTAGCCGTTTTCAGGGAGTCACAAATGTGTGCCTGGAAAAACAATTGTGTCAGAAAGTCTTTGAAGCTCCTTTTAAATATAAGTTTTGTTCCATTTCTTATTTCTGTCGCCTGTTTGTACCGTCTGAGGTCCAAACGGCAACATTTTTCATCGGCCTGGTTGAAAAACATCAAACATTTGGGTCATGATTTTTCATGAGGAGTTGGTACTGGGCGCTGAAGCTATACCAGTTGAGAGTCACTGATCTAAATGTTGCCCTTTTATTGTGGAGATAGATAGGAAGTAAATAAATGCTTTTCACTGCTACGCCACTGTTTGTAAGACTAATAAACATGCTGCTGTAGTTGCAAAAAGTACACATCAATTCTTTCTCATTTGTCACTTTGAGTCCAAAGAGAACACAACCAAAAATCTGCTGGATAAACAAAAGTCCATACACCAGTGGTTACTCAATATCTTGTAATAATCTCAGTTTTTCTGAGAGGTGAGACCATTCACAGGGTTTTTAACTATTTTCACAAGCAAGTATAAAATCAATTGTTCAAGAGTAAGTTATTTCTGCTTTATTCCAAGCCTTGTAATCCTTTATATAATTTGTCTGGGGTCCTCGTTGTGCAGTAGGTCTTGCCCACCATGCCAACAACAAAACATTACCTCACCCATTTGAACTCTCCCAGTTCAAACACATTTTACTTGCACCATTAAGAGGGTGATTGGTGGTTATTACAAGCTAATCTCAGTGAGAACATCCAGATGCTCTTTTTGTCAAGGTCAGGATTAGAGCTGGACAGGGAGGAGGAGGAAGGGAGGGAGGGGTTGATTTCGTACCCATCAGGCACTTGGAGCCTCTGCAATGGCGTGGCACCTGCAACCAGGAAAGACACAAAATGGAGTCCCAGCTGGCCTCGCATCGATGTGAGTCAAAAGGCCGGGGGAGGAGGAGGAGGAGGAGGAGGGGAGCATGCTTCAGGCTCTATTAGGCCTACATCCTATCTCCATCTTCAGCTCTGAGCACCATCACCATGAGTCATTAACACCAAATTCGCAGCTGTCACTCTGGAGTATTTGCAGGTGGAGGACGGCATTTTGTCGCCTGCTTTATTGGAACAACAGAAGTGTTTGTGCAGAAATGAAGTAGTCGTATACCTCAAGAACATCCTGTGCCTTACTCTGTCCTTTTTCATTTCAGGATAAGCAGAAAAACCTGCCTTCACATCTCGTGACGGTGACAAGGAGAGCAGAACTGACATTTGCATGCCTCAGGAGGTGGGAAGAGACGAGACACCCACCCTTTTCCACCTCATGCTGCCGAGCAGACCAGCCTTCACCTGTCCCCTCCAGGCTGAGAGGAACTGTGGGCCACTCGCTATCGCCTCTTCCGGCCAGAAATGTTCCTACACAATCGAAAAACTCCTTCAGCTTTTTAGTTTTGGGAGAAAATTATGTAGTATTAAAAAAAGAAAGGATAGAGAAGAGATGAACAATGACTGAATGAGTTCATAAAAGAAGATGGCGGGGGGTTTAGGGGGAGGGGACAGGCGGATTGGGATGAGAGAGCGAGAGATAAGCAGATAGCTTGGGTGTGAAAATGGGAGTGACAGTGACGGAGTCCCATGCAAAGATAAACAGCCTTGGTGCAGCCCTTGTAATGGCTTTGAACGAGTAATTTGTCACTCCATGTGAAAAGCAAACAGCAGGGTGACACTTGCCATCGCCCAAGGGTGTCTTACCAAGCTTTTCCATCTGTCTGTACAACTGGCCATGCACATTCCTCTGGTCAAGAAACAACTGAAATATGTATGAGAGCAGGGACACATTTAGTACCACTTACAGTTGATGTGCATTTCATCAAATACTGTAGAAATTTGAATTTCTGGGACTTCAATTTTGACATTTGGTGTCCCAGCGTTTCAGATTCAATATCTCAATCAAAGGTACAAATCTTAAAAGACAAGCAAAGAAACATTCTGTATTATCAAACAGTTTTCATTTTCATTTGTCGGCAGTTTCAGAAACAACATGACACACTTTGAAACAACTTAACTTAAATGCAGTTTTTACATTTGATGTATGACAGGACAGTCAAGCCAAGTTATTACATAAAGTCAATGAACATGAAAGTTATTTCTCCATCAGAGCCCGGGCACTGTAAAAAATAGAAATTGACTTTCCACCATTTTGGAGTGAAAGACAAGAGGAGAGTTTTGACAAAAAATGATCTTATGTGTGAGTGCTGCCATCTTGTGGGCAGTTTCTTACACTACATGTATTAAATAATATTTAAAAAAAACAACCTAAATTGGTGAGAGCAGCTGTGACTTTTTTTTTTAAATATCTATCAGGTATAAAATATACAACCTAAAAGTGAACATAATATACATTTTGGTTCCCCTTAAGAAAAAATGATCAACTTTATATATATTTATGAAAAAAATGCTACATAGAATATTTGAATCCAGCAGTTCAGATCAGGGGAAGAACAAATGAACAGCATTTTTTGAACCCACAAAATGAAATAATCATCAACCTATCAAAATGCTCTCTGCAGGGCCCACTAGTGGCTGCATGTGAGAATGCAACAGCCTCTGCCTTTTCCCCGAGATGGGTAGAAGCTCGCAGTTCGCTTTCATCTGGTCTATTCTCCTCGCCAGATCGGGGTCGCTGTCGATGACCAGGGTGCACCTTTGGGCGTAGCTGACCAAAGTCTCTTCTCCTTGACGAAACGTGCCCACCAGGGGCACCATGTCTTTACCGGCCAGGTGTAGCTCAGCGATGGACGCCGTGTTGGCGATGGTGTTCCGGTCGATTCCTAGACGGCGGAAAGCTTCGCTCATGTTTTTCTTTTTGATGAAGGCTGACAGGACTTGTTTGTAGCGGTGGATGACGTACTGGACACCGGTGGCTGGTGAAGCAATGACAAAGAAAGTGTAAATGTGCAATGTGGACTGTAAAGTTGATAATAGTAATATTAAACAGGGAGTTTGGTTAACAATCAAACTAAAGTAATTTTTAACCTTGTTCAACCTTTTAACAGTCTTACTTTCAACGCACCTAAGGGACTTACTTCACCACAAGATGAGTTTCACTGTGTCATTTATTTAAACATCCCATAATAATGCTCTGTTTTAACTGACATGATTATGGGAGATAGATATTGTGCTGTTGCAGCAGAAAGTGGCTGCCTGGATCGTATCTTTTACGCACATCCTCTTTGCTGCGTGTCTGCCGGGGTAAAAAAACGATCTCAAATAAAAAAAACATGCAGTAAAAAATAACAGAGCCTTGTTGGTCATACAGCGGCCGTTGTCAACAAACTGTTGTCATAGTGACAGGACGGAAACGCAGCGCTTTTCTTCACAGAGCAGATACTTTTCTGCTCCGGAAAAAAAGCTAGGTGGACACTGGTCCTTACAGAGAAAAAGTTTAACATGCACAATAATATAATATTTATGTAATATTTCATGAGTCAATTCTTCTTTTTCTTATAATTGTCACTATCACATGCCAGTAAAGCGAATAGAAATCTGAAATATAGATTTACTGTATATGTTTGGATGTGATTATTACCTCTCTTCCTGCTGTAGTCCTTCCCTTTCTTTGACCTTTTCTTGTCTTTGTGGTGTTTTCTCCTCTTGTGTTCACTCGAGGCCGCAGACATTTCTGAAGACTCTGACGCTTCAGAGTGACTTTTGCTGCTGTCAGAGGAACTGCAGGAAACTTGTTCTCTCTTACGGGATTTGTTTTCTGAGTGCTGCATTTTGCTGGATTTCGGAGCTGTGAAAAAATGACACAAACGATTATGGACTATACAATAAGCAACATATATAGAATATGAAATAGACGACGTACAACACGGTTTACTGCTTCACTTCTACGACTGACCTTCTGTCACTGGACTGGGCGATGCAAACGCATGCATGGCACGGTTGCTTGTGAGGTTTTCTAACTGGCTCCTCAGGAACTTGCGGTCCTGAATCAGGTCATCCACCTGTCTCTCCAGAGCGGCGATGCGCTCCTGTTTGCTCTCCAGCATGCACTGGAGCTTAGTGATGGTCAGCAGCACCTTTGGTGGGAGGCTCTCTGCATGTGAGGCTGCTTGAAAAGACGATGTTTAAAAAAAATCGTTAGTACTACTGTGGTGATACATGAATGTGTGTGCGCAGCTCTGAGGCAAATTACATTACAAGGGCAATACAGTGTTCTGAAAGTTATGAAAATGTAAGAAACAGCAGCATATGTTTCTGACAAAGCAGCAGGCGGTGTGTCAAAGTCTTCCTACCTGGCATGGCGCTGCTGGGTGTGTTGTCCTGGACGGCGTCAGTGGACGTTCCCGTTTGGAGACTCTCCCACTTGATGATGCAGAGTTCATCCTGCTCCTGCTTCAGCCAGGCCGGAGAGGCGAGCCTGTCTTTGCACCTCACGGAGCTGGAGTCGATCTCAAGGCAGGGGGAATAACCCGACGGCTCCTGCTGCCACACGGACATCCTGTCACACCTGAGATAAGGACCACAAGGCGGGGGACGTGTTGGTGGGTCGTGTGACAGAGAACAGCTCATAGATCTACAGAAAGATTAACGAGGCACAGTCAGCATTCTGAATCGCTCCTCTACTTTGTGTCCCGTTTGCTGAAAGTACATTCCAAGTCTTCTGAGTTTTCATTACAGATACTGAACTTGTATAAAGCCTTTTAATGTTTAAGTACAAATCTCAAAAGTATGTTCATTCATTTGAAACATATTGTGTGTGTTTTTACTATTCAAGACACACAATACAGTTTCACTTCTTTAATTTCCCTCCATGCAGAATCTCACACTGGTGTAGCTGCTCCTGAACAAACTGAGCGACTTTCAGCCAGTCAAGTTAACAATTAAGTCCTCTTCGTATAATCATTATTGTAAAGTGTACAACATGTTCAAACATTATGAAGTTATGTTTTAACTTTAGTGTTTGTCACCGTGTTTGCCTCAGGTTGGTGTTTTATTGTCTCTGAACAGAATAACAAGAACAACTTCTGCGAGCTGCTATTCAACAACAAACAACAACGAAAATGTAAAACATGACACAGCATTATGACGAGGCGATAAGAACAGCTTCCACCCTAATCTACAGCTAGTGTAAAATAACAACAGTGTCAACTACAACGAGGTAATAACAGTACTTTATTACTAGACGGATGAAATTGTCTCTGCTCATGGAAAACAAAAGCGAGAGTACTAAAACAAACCAATCATCATACAGGATGCAATCTATCATGTGTGAGCAGCAGATTCAACCCTCTGCTCCTCCTCATCCTCATCCTCCAAGTTATCCCACCGCTTCAAACGACACCCCATGACGACCCTATTTTACAGACTTTACAGCAGCTAGGAGCGAGGTGTGAGATTTAAGAAATAGGCGTTGCCACCTTGTCCTTTTCTTATAAACCCTTAAAGTTATGAATCATTGTTCACCAGATTAATTAAACGACTTGTGGATTTTTTTTTTTTAAATGGCAGCACATTTCAATGGATCAGTCGTTTTCTGGATGCAATGTTGGACACAAATAAGACATGAAGACACATTTTGTCACATGAAAACAGCAGCAGACAAACAGAATTTACAGGAATCTACTCATCCACATAACTTATATTTATTAACAAATACTGCTATGTATGCATTAGATAATAAAAGGTTCCAGAAAACTCTCCAAGGGGGCTACATGATCGACATGATCAACGTAGGAGTTTCTGCATGAATTAAGCATCAACTCACACATGTGAAGCGTGCACCTACGAGTAGATAGTAATGAACGCAGCCACAACACACCAATCACTGCAAGGAGAGAAGTGTTTTCATCATTATGAGAACAGGATCGTTGATGTCCTCCTGCAGTGAACCGAACATCAGTGGACTTCATCAGCTGTGTTCAGTATTAACTCTCCATGACATCATCAGCTGTATGGACCTTCAGGTTAATGTGTTTCCATTAATGATTGACAGCTGAGTGATTTTTATTCCAGGACTTTGCTTTGAACTGAATAACCTGAAAACAGGAAACCAAACTGATGACCATAAAATCATTAACTCATTCTGAACACGATGAGTTCATGATATATGAACATGATGAATTATGCATCAGTTAAGCATAGATTAAGATTGAACAGGGAAAGATTGCATGCTTGAGAACCTGTTTTTTTTTTTACCGATGGGTTTATGTCTACCATTTTCTCATATGTAAGCCTTCACCAAAGAAAAGAAACATTGGATCCCTTATCTCGTAATTACAAGATAAGCATCACATAATTACACGATAAGGATCTTGCAATTATGAGATCCTGATCTCGTTATTATAAGATAAGGGATGGAGCATGGATAGAGTTCAAATGTAAAGAGACACAGAAAGTAAAGGTGCAGAGGGTGCTGCAGACGCCCTACCATCAGATACAAGCCATCAGCTTAGAAAAACGTAAAAAGTGTGAATAAGACTTCCTGAAGAAACAACATGCTGCAGGTCGAGGTTTTTCAGAGATGATCAAAGATGTCTGATTATCCTCACAGAGCAGCATAACTACTTCCTTAGAATTTGGAGTTTTAGTTTGATCTCTTTTGACAACATTAGAAAACCTGAAAGAGACAAAGATGGAGAGAGAGTGGGACGAGTGAGAGTGACATTACGCACAGAAGTGAAGGGACAGGAGACAAAAACTCCATTTGATCATCTGTCCTAATGTCACTCTGTTTACCAGTCGAGTACCTGAACATCACCAACACTGGAGTCTCTGTTAACAGACTGACGCTGTCTCATAAACTCAAACATGCACTGAGTTCACGTCGATGTGCACGCTTCCACTCATCCTGAATGAATGGATCTTCATTGCTGTTGTAAACTCAATAAGTCACAGGCCATGTCTGTGCATACTTGACCGTGTTGTCTGTTGAAGTAGGAGCTGCAGTTAATACGTTAAGTATTAATATTCCTCAACATTCAAATCAATTATTTAAAACACAAATGAGTGCAGTCTGGGTGATATATCCACCGGACAAGGAAAGGCAAATGTATTTACATTACATTTACAGCGACAAGGCAGTTCAAAGTGCTTCAACACGAGACATTAAAAGCATCACGAGAAGGGGGAAAAGAGTCCTGAACAGTCCCCACGCTCTGAGTTTTAGAGTTTATAATAACACACACAGTGAAAAGACAGATGACATGTTCCACGTCCTTCAGAGGAGACGAGCAGAAACCATGCAGTCTGTCATGCTCTGACTCATAGGAGACACAGATCAGTCTCATGTTTCTGTGCAAAGCCCAATATTATTCATAAAGTACGTCTTCACATGCTGCGAATGAGGATGACAGATTCAGTTTTCTGTAGTCCCTTCACCTCTGTGCTCCCTGACTGTCACTCATCCATGTGAGCATGCATTCTTTAGTTTACAGAAAAGAAACCATTGGCATCCTTTTGGAAACAGGACGTTTGACTCTTCTCCACATCTTTCATTTTGAGCTAAAAATGTCGGCCTTTTAGCTTTGAAATTCTCCTTACTTCACAGAGGATCACAAACCGAGGGCAACATGTTTGTCCCTGGAAAAAGGGGTTGCAAACAAAAAAAAAATAATTGCAAAATTGAAGCTCTTGTGTTTATCTTTTTTTAAGTGTGTAAAGACAAAACTTAAAGAGGTTTGTCAGGAGAAAAAGACTGCAACAGACATAAGGTAATACTCCTGCGTTCTGTGCGGGGAAAAATATTTGAAGAACTCCAAAAAAACAGCGGCCATTACTGTGCGGTGAGGGCAAGTTCAAAGTGAACTATTTGTCTTTTGTAAGTGACAAAATGACTGAATCCTACATGTCCCATAATGCAACTCTCGCACTCATAATCAGAGTGCCCCTTTAACACTCCAATGGAGAGCAACAGGAGATTCATGATACATTAATGACCATAGTGCATTAAATCCTCATCAGTTATGCATTAGTCTGTTTCATGTGTTTCAGCTCTAATGACGTCACTGGCTGCAGATTATACAGGTGATGATCGTGAGCTCTGAATGTGGACTAATGAAAAACAGCAGATAAGATTATATCAGAGCTGTTTATTTCCTTGTTTTGTTGCAGGAAGTGGACATGACTGTTTTTACTTCATGTTGCCATGGTGATGATGATGGACTCTTAAACATGTGCAAGCTGCAGAGCCTGAACACAATACAATATGTTAAAATAGGACTTACTCAAACCACCACATCTAGAAGGCCTGCACAGGTTCTACACTTTCATCTTAACCACATACAAACACATGCAATCAAAGGGGAAACATGCAAAGGCACTAGGCCCACTGATTTATTTATCAGATCATGAAAGGAATGTAACATGTTTTCAATCGGTCTTTGAACGTAGCCTAAATTCCGGATGTCAGATGTTGTTAAACCTCACACAAAGGTGTGCTGATTAGTTTGCTACACGGCCACCCCGTCCCCTCCTTGCAGTGTTTTTAATTACCTCTTGCCAAGATGGATGCTAATGACTATAATTATCAGCAAAAGGGGGGATAAAGGGACAAACACAGCCGGTGTAAGACGAAGGAAAACCTACCTCCAGGTGACTGCAGAGGATAAAACAGCTCTCTCAGATTTATTGTGGTCGATTCTCTGCACGCTGAAACCTCACGTCGTGGAAAATGTCCCGTTTGAAAAATATAAACACAAACGAGAGTAGGAAATGCGAGATTACAGCATGGTAGGTGGAGACAGGGGGCGGGGCTTAAGGGAACTGACGATGACATGCAGACATCACGCTGCCTTCAGGAGCTCGAAGTAAAATCGTACATCTTAAAACTATAATATATATATATTTTTATATATTTTTTTTAGAGTTCTGACTTTAAAGTCAGAATTCTGAGAAAAAAGTCAGATCTACAGGTACCTGTAAGGACCAACTCCAGTGGATAGTCACTGTGCAGGACCGTGCAGGACTGACTGGAGCATACTGGAGTGGGAAACAGCAGCAAAAACCGTGGCATGCTTTGTCTCTGCTGTGTGTTATCACAGTTATAGTTTAATGATCCTGTATTTTAGTTTTTTAGGTTGCCAGACGGTGTAGCACCCAGGAGAAACTTCTGTGTAAACTACTATGGAATTGCTTAAACGAGTAGCCAACTTATTCTTTTCACCACATTAACATTCAGTTCTTTAGTTGAATGTTGATGAAGCCCCTCATTCCATATAGGTAAAAAGAGATAGAGTAAATAAGGTTTAAAAAACAGTATTTTGACAATGTTACAAAGCATTTTATTATCATCCATGTTGGACACAAATAGATATTAGTCCGCTGGCATTAATATTGAAGGAAGTGTGTGAACAATTATGAAATGCAAAATGAATAACATTCACTCCTGCAAAGTGACTATCCAATATTCTGAGTTTAAAGTCAGAACTCTATTTTTTTTTTAATGTGTGGCCCTAATCCTCTTCCGTAACGATATAACACCGTGAAATAATGATAATAGTATATAATACTTTGAAAAATAAAAGATTATGCCCTAAGAAGGAATTTTACAATATATTGTGTAACTACAGCTGCAGCAAGAACTGTTTCTTTTATCTGATCTGAGCCATTCTTTTTGCTGTAGTTGTAATTCTCTTTCTTATGTAAAATTGACGATATCTTGTTAACTTTTAAAGTTCAAACTGAACTGATAAATAGGACTGAAACCAGTTCACTGACCTGAAACTAAATGTTCTAGTAGCAGGATCTAAAAGTCATTGTATGTAATTTTTTCATCATAGCACCAAAGACAGTCAAATGTTTAATAAAACAAAAACATAAACAATGATGTTATAGGGAATTTTATTTGCAATTACACTGGAAATCTTTGGCTATAGAGAGACACAACCCATCTGATATCCTGGTTTATGTTTTACCTATCTCATATTTCAGTCAGTGTATACTCAGCTACTCAAAATGTTTACAATAGTGGTCATTTGAACAAATCTCAGCTGCCTTACAGTGACAGAGAATGACACAGACGTCAGACTGTCTGGATGTTACATATTACCTACAGGTTTCTTCACATTGATACTCTCTGACCTACCTTCTACAGTCAACTAAATAATGTTATATATATTAATGTTAATATATTAACTCTCTACTGTGTTAGTAGTAAAATACAAAAAAAAGGAGAGCAATTTGAGGTGCATTTGGATTTGTCAAGTTTTTCTGGTGGATAAAAATGCAACATATTGTAAATGAATATAAAGTTTTCTTCAACAAGAACATGATAAAATATATTCTCTTTTGATAATCATCTGTAAGGGAAATTCATCCTGTCTTTTCACATAACATTGCATAACCTTCATGATACAAACGTATAGCCCTTCATAACAAACGTTCACATTTCTTCAAAATTCAAGCTTCTTATTGGATGATTGCATTAGTAATAACAGCGGTGAACTAAAACAGTCACTGAGTTTGGGGGGGGGGATGGAGGGTGAACGACAGCGGCCTTGGACAACAAAATCAACTTGAATACAGAACAATGGGATCTAATACTTCTTCATTAGTAACACTTTCAATAACTTCTGTAAATGCAGCAGCGGGTTAAAGCCGACTTCATGCTAGCGTACAAACATGAATTACTTTTACGATGTGACAACAAAGCGTAGATCCATCTGATTAAAACACACTCAGTGCATTTGGGTTTTTTCCTCGGACGTTTACATCTTGTTGCTCGTTTATAGTAACTAAAACTGACTGTAAATGCTAGTAAACACGTTACAAAATGATGCTAAACACTGCCGAAGAAATGGACAGTGATTGATAGAAACTGTACTTTTGGAGACTTAAGTAAATCCAGTTCGAAGCCAACGTTGTAATGAATGCCTGTTGAAAAAGTTAAAAATTGGCGCCACTTAGATAAACATTAACTCAGAGTTCGGACGAATCAGGAGCCACTTCCACCCTCCTGCTCCCTGCATAATGCCGCATGGAGAGACTGAGTGATTTTACTTTGTTAGACGGGAAACAGCCGCGCCCTCGCTATTACTCTGCCGTCTCTGCCTTTGTCATCCACATCCACATCCACATCCACTCAGGAGAACTCTCAGTGGCAGATCGCCAGGAGGAGACGTTTATAGTCCCCGCTGCACTCGTCCTTCAGGGCGTCCTTCAGAGACACGTCGTACTTCTCCAGGTACATTTCTTTGATGGTCTCCAAATCGAACTGTGAAAGCATTCGTTTGTGAAATTAAATATTGACCAGTCTCTACTCCCGAACCATCTGATCATACTAAGTATGAGTGTAACATTTCTCGGAATTGCAATAAAGAAATGTCATGCATTTTGCAGGATTAACATAGATATTGTGTCTTACTGAAACTAGATTTTCCCTTAGAACGATCATTTTATTGGCCACGTGTAAGTGTAATAAAGACTTCAAATAAAACAGACCACGGTGGTTGAAAAGAAACAAAAACAAAATTAACATGAGTGAATCTAAAAATGTCAGAAAGAATCACTCCCATGATTCCTCGCCAGCCTTGATGTCATCTTTTGTCATTGTTTTGATTGAGAGCCCCCTGGTGGTGTGATTTACACACTGTGGGATGCTCAGTGTACGTCTAGGAATGATGTCATTGCTCTGATGTTTGTAGTACTACATCACGGTCTTGAAACTACATTTAGCAGAGGATACAACGGGATTTAGCTTTCTTGGTGGTGCTGATCCTTAACATTACTTTTGATAGAAAGAGTCAAAATCCGAGTGGTGAATATATTGGCTACACCTGCTGATCTTTCTCGGGTTCTTACCTCAGAGCGACACACGATGATGCGGATGAGGGTGTCGTCGTCGGTGCCCGCTCCTTTCATCGCTTTGTTCAGACGCCGGGCAAAGTAGAGCTGAGGGTTCTTAGCGACTCTCACTGAGGAGAGGAGAAATAAACATTTCATCATATTCTACTGAAGCTTATTAAAACACATGTTCCAACACAGTCCTCTCCAATGAAACTTCTATGTGCTGTAAAGTCAATTTAGTGCTCCAGAGAGCTATTGAGACAAAAATAACAAGTTGAATGTAAGCACCCGATAGCAATGACTTAATGTAGTGACGCTGCATTTTTTTAGCTCTATAATTTCCTCCAAGTCTCCCCAAAAGGATTAGGTGCTGGGACCAGTAATTTATGTTCAAAGGGAGTATAATTTCAAGGTCCTCGAAAAGTGTAATGCAATGAAGTTCTTCTCAAGGGTTGTGTAAGATACCGGCCCTGACTCATCCACACGCTAGCTGAAGTTGCAATGTCAGGTCATGTAAAAGTGATACGCAGTCTGACTGCAGCTCTGCACAGCGTGACACCAGAACCCACCTGCTCATATATCTTGAATGTGGCCTGGAGCTGCAGGTAGTTTCTGGAGGCCAGGATGTAGCTGAACGTGGACTCATCTGTCCCAAAGCAACCCTCGCCTGCCTGCAGAAAAAAAAAAAAAAAAACTGTTGGTGCTGTTGAGGATTAAAAGAAGAGATTATCATAAACGTGTGTAAAAATAGAAACTTCACCTCAAACATGCCGGTAGCATCTTGTTCTAGCTGAACGTGGACTCATCTGTCCCAAAGCAACCCTCGCCTGCCTGCAGAAAAAAAAAAAAAAAAAACAGTACTGTTGAGGATTAAAAGAAGAGATTATCATAAACGTGTGTAAAAATAGAAACTTCACCTCAAACATGCTGTAGCATCTTGTTCAGCCAGATCTTCGTCCACATCGTAACTCTCGTCTCTGTTGCCCTGGAAGAAGAACAGTCTTTAGTTATCTGATGTGTGTGACTGAAGCAACTGTATCCGGCCTCTGTTTTACTAATGAGAAGCTGGATTGTGTCCAGTGTGTTGTGTGGTGTGTGTTTTAAGAGTGGGCACAGGAAAGTGAGCTCCATTTCAGTGCAACGCCCAGACAGGAATTTGGTTTCGCTAGTGGAGAAGAAACTCAAGAGCACTAACCTCCATAAGAGCCATGCAGGTTTCTGACGTCCCCACTTGTGTCTCCCTCGATATCTGCTTCAAGATCCCGTTCATGCACTGAGAGAGCGACACAAAGTAAAAAAAGGGTCACACAAAAAAAGAATCTGAAGTTAAATAATTAGCCTACATTTTAAAGTCTGACCCCTTTTCTCAAACCTCAACTCCTCGAGCAGAGCTTCTTAGTTTAATGATGAGTGGGTATATCAGCCCTTTTCTGATTGGTTAAAAATCATTTTTGAGTATTGAGAAAAGATTTATTCTCAGACACTGAAACAAAAAGTCTTACTGCACAGCTCTACAGACACCTGAACACAACTCTCATAAAGTCGACTGCCTCTAGTGTTTTTATGTGCAGCAATTATGAAGCTATCAAAACAGCACTGAGCACATTCAATGATTCCTTTCCAAGCAGTCAATTACATGTTTCATTGACAAGAGTGAGCGAAAACAAATGCCTTCTGAATAGAAATCAAATTCTATTCAGAAGAAAATAAATAGAATTATTTTATAAATAGTATAAATAAATAGAATTCTTAAATGGATAAACAGATAAATAATAATAATTGTGAATAAATAATAATAATAATAATAATAATAAATAGATAAATAAGTAAATAGAATAAATAAATAGAATTCTTAGATAAATAGATAAATAATAATAATTGTGAATAAATAATAATAATAATAATATACAGATAATAAATAAATAAATAAATAAATAAATAAAATAAAATAAAATAAAATAAAATAAAATAAAATAAATAGAATTCTTTATTCTGAATAGAAAATAACACACTCATACACAGACAATAATTAAACATGAGGTGCTAAAAGGCATAACAGTAAATTCACAATTATAACAAAACCCTGTGCTTAGCTAACTGTGAACTAGCGATAGCATTTCAATAACTTCCTGGCAGCAGAAGTCTGGGTAAAGTTGGGATGAAAACATGTGGTTGTCTGAGTTCACGCATGCAGCTTACTAGCATTTTGGAAATGTTTAAGGAGTTTAATGTAAGTGTGAAAACAACTTTAGTTAGCTGTCAAATTAACAAACATTCAAGTCCATTCAGATATCTCAGATACAGATTTTAGAATCTGCACTCAATTATCCTTTCCTTTAGTCTCTCACAACAAAGCTAAGTGCAGAATGGCGCTTTACAAAGTGGCAGAGTACATTTTTTATATTAAAACAAACAAATTAAATATTATAAAAATAGTTTAAAGTCAGTGTCTAAAAAAAACCCAGTGAGTTAAATGAAGATGCTGTTTAATGAACTATCAGCACTGACATCATAGTGATCAGGAAGCAGAAGCAGGATGGGCCTTGACTAAACACAGAGCGACAAGGAACAAGACGAGTTCAGAATTCACTATATGTGGCTCCTAATGAGTCAGCCTTAGTAATTTCCTCCAGAGTTCAAAATACACGGAAAGGAAAATCATGACATTTAGTCTTAAGTGGGGGAAAAGTTTAACACCACAGACTTTATGAAACATGACAAACCAATAACAACAATAAAGATGGGTTGATGTCAAGTAATGTTTTCCTAATTGAAAAGTTTAATACTAAATAAATCATATCATATTGTTCATCACTGCTCTCATAATGTATGCTGTCATGAAGCTCATCTGCTTACCTTGAAAGTAGCATTCCTTGAACATGGCGATGTCCTGCAGAAAAACAACAAAAGACAATAAATAAGAAGTCAAGGTCCTGTAAGTAAAAACTGATTGGATGTATGAACTTCTTCATTTTAAGTCTGTTGCTTTGACTTTATGACTGACAGCATTGGTAGCGGTGCAGAGGAGCTCCACCAGGACGTCTTCATCCGTGCCCGCTCCCTTCATGGCCTTCCTCAGCTCCTTCACGGCGTAGATGACGGGCGGGTCCAGCATGGCGAGGATGGCATTCTCGAAGTTACCGACAACTCGCTCTTCAACACGTCCACCAGCTCCTGTCAGAGAAACGCGGCAGGTAAAAACAGATTTCATGACACAAGAGGAACAATATGTTAAGACTAAGACTTGTGGGGTGTATTCCTGAAGGACACTCACATCATCATACTTGTCAAAGTAAGCCTGTTTGATTTCCTGGCGCTGGAATGAACAGCGGTTGGCCAGGATGTCGATGATGGCCTGCTCATCGGTTCCTAAAGAGAGAAAAACACACAAAAACATGCAGTTTAAAGATCAAAAATGTCATTTTTCCAAATTAGACTTTTCTTGAATTCAAACACTAACATGATTGATTCCTCATTCTAAACTTACCGAACCCTTTGCAGGCTTTGCGGATCGCCTTAATGTCAGCGATGACATCAAAGTCCTCATAGGGCACGATAGTGGGCTACAAAGAATAAAGAACATTATTATGTGGATGACTTTAAAACATCTTCTCGTCACGCTCTGCCTTTTATCTAACCGATCATTGTCTCGGGCAAATGAAGTCATAATAGCGATGCAGGAGCAGCTGGCAGCTGGGGGAGGGGAGGAATGAGGAATTCAGGGCCACAAGTCTTTAAACAAACTTGGTGGGAGCCGCATGAATTACTGGCGGTCGCCAAAGGGTTCGGTCCGGGGGGCCATGAAGGGGTCTGATGAGCTCAAAGTGTTGCTACAATAATTGGACCTTCATCATCTCCAGCAAAGATTAGTACAAGAAGAGTTAAATGGCACTTTATGTCACCAAACAAGGACGTGTGTTACATTTTTGGTTCATTGTGTTAAGTTTGTATGAGAAACTATTCACAGATTGAGGAACTTTCACTGGTTCTGCTTTTAAAACAATCTGTAAAAAGCTTTTTTAAGCTTTTTTTTTTTTTTTTTTAAAGTCAACTGCAGGATTTTCTTTTCTCAACACAGTCAGAAATAAAATGAACTCCCTGTCCCCTCTCGTTTCATTCATTCACTGTTGCGTAACAAACACACATATTAGTTCATACAGCGCCTCACTCATTCGTCTGTCCACACACACGCACGCACACACACACACACGCACACACGCACACGCACACGCACACACGCACACCTAACGGAGCTGTGATGAATTCCGCAGGGGAGTGGCTCTTTCCTCTGCGTAAACCCAGACACGGTTGTCTGTCATTTGCGACGTTACATCGGCTTCATTTAAAGAAACCTCAAATATGTTAAAACATTGAACTATAGCTCTTAATCTTGTTTTTTTGTCCCCCCCCCCCCCCCCACGAGTTATAACATGTGCGCAACACTGACGTCAAAAAGAGTCTTTAAAGGGTTGAATAAATCGTAGAAAATCAGAAATAATGACAACATCTGACTAAGCTATAACCACGGAATCTGTCGTTAATCATGTGATTGGCTCGATCAAAATCCTGCTCCTATTCGTTATCCTGAAACTCTACCCCCCTTACACCCCCGAGCGAAACCCCCCCTGCCGATTGTCAGATTTTCTTTTTCCACAATCAGCGCGTAATAAACAGCGACTATTTCTAACAATGGTACCTACTTGACAGTTGCCCATTTTAAGAGTTTTTATCCGGCTGCAGTTGGTGAAGGAAGAGCTCGTAGCCTACAGTAGTTTGGGATCTTTAGTCCTCCTGAACAAACTGTCTGCACAGCATCATGTTAAATGCTTTTTTTTTTTAAATTTTATTTGAGAAGTTTAAATCTAAAATTCATAAAATACTGGAGTATAACACTGCACATTTATTCAAGTAGTTCTGATTTTTTTTGCACACGTTTAACCACGCTGCGTCTGCACAGCATCATGTTAAATGCTTTTTTTTAATTTTTTTTGAGAAGTTTAAATCTAAAATTCATAAAATACTGGAGTATAACACTGCACATTTATTCAAGTAGTTCTGATTTTTTTTTGCACACGTTTAACCAAATCCACAATTTTATTTATATTTTGCTTATTTTATTTTGCAAGGGAGAGATTCTGATGTTGCAGCAGCAAGAAGACAAAACTCAGCACTGA